AATTTAGAAAAATTCCAGTAATTTTATTAATTACAAAAAATTTCCACCGAAATTACAGTTTTTAGGTTAATTTCTATAATTTCAAATTAATTCAAGTAATTCCAAGTTAATATTCGTAGTTCTAAAATAATTTCTGTAATTCTAAATTAATTACGATAGGTCGAAAAAACTCCACGTAATTTTTGAAAAAAATTCCAAAAATAAATGCGGTAATTCCAGAAAAAAATTCAGTAATTTCAATAACTTCTAAGCAATCCGATTAATAATAATAATTAATAATTTTAAGCAATTTCGATTAATTTCAAAAATTTATGTAACTAATTTCAGAGTTAATGAAAGTTATTCAGATCTTTATTTGAGAAAAGCACTCAAATAAAAGACTCAACTTTTGGATATTTACTGATATTAAATTAGAACTCGAGAGTTTAGTTTTTTGCAAATTCAATGTTAGTTTTTAAAATTTTCAAAGTTTATTTCTTATTTTTGGAAAGGATGCAACCCAAATAGATTTTATCGCAGCTTCCTTAGTTACACTTTATGATCAATCGAAACACATGAGATAAATATTTAGTCTGTGTTATTTTCAGAATTTTGAATAATTTTTTAATATCACGTAATCCCTAAATTCTGAAACATTTTGCAATTTTCGCCGAGCTTAAGTCCGGGAAAGGCAATTACCATGTAAATATGTTAGGGCCTTATTTACAGAAAATTGCGTCCGCAGCAAAATTTATCTTTTGTGTAATAATTACAATTTAATTAAACCGGAGAGTTTTACACGGGTTTTTACTACCTGACCTAGTTGTAGAGAAAATCCCAAGTCGGTCAAAGGCCAAAGATTAAACAAATAAATTGTCGCCAAAATTAGAACAATTATATTAGTGCTCCGATGAATCATGAAGCACTGTCGTCATCTAACTTATTGATCAAATAACTCATTGTTTGCAGATTCTGTTTCAATCGATTGCGTTTTAATTTCGCAAAAAATTTCATTAAACGCCAGTTTGGGGATTAAAAACTAACGACTTTAAGGTCAAATGTGAGGATTGACGTTATAAACGAAGACAGGGGAGTGCATTTTGTAATAAAAGAAATTACTTTTAACTAAGTGCAGACCACAGTGTTCTAGTTATCGATCTAAAACCTAACACAAAGCGACAAAAAAAATGTCGTGACAACTTGACAAATTTTATATCATTTTGTTCGTCTCAGTGAGACAAATCAAATGCACTAAAAAAAATTTTAAAAAGTTACTCACTTTGAACAAAATATTTTTTTTCTAATTTAAATGAATTTAAAATACTTTAACTTTAAAAAATCATTACTCAATAACTATTAGGCCGATTTCCTTCAAATAAGGGATGGCCTTGCCCTTTAGAATGGTATAAAATTTGAAATTGAATATTGGCAAACTTTTTTTCGAACAGTGTTCGAAGAAGTCGAAGTAAATCGAAATAATCTAAGAAAAACCCTAAGAGTAATTTTTTTTTCTTCGTAACCATCGTGTAAAG